AATTTCCTTGTTTTCGAAAGAAAAGCAAATTTTTTGTCTATTAAAATAACATCAAATTGATCAGAAATACAGTGTAGACATTGTTAATGTTGTAAATGGCTATTGTAGCTGGAAACAGCAGATTTTTAATGGAATATCTACAAAGGCGTACAGAGGCCCATTATCAGCAACCATCAGTCCTGTGTTCCAATGGCACGTTGTGTTTTCTAATCCAAGTTTATAATTTTAAAAGGCTAATTGATAATTAGAAAACCCTTTTGCAATTTTGTTAGCACAGCTGAAAACTTGTGTGCTGATTAAAGAAGCAATAAAACTGGCCTTCTTGAGACTAGTTGAGTATCTGGATCATCAGAAATTGTGGGTTCGATTACAGGCTGAAAATGGCCAGAAACATATAACTTTCTTCTGAAAGTCGTCAGTCTATTCTTGTTCTGAGAAATGAAGGCTACTCCATGCGAGAAATTGCCAAGAAACTGAAGATCTCGTACAACGCTGTGTACTACTCCCTTCACAGAACAGCGCAAACTGGCTCTAACCAGAATAGAAAGCGCCTCACAGGTCCTCAACTGGCAGCTTCATTAAATAGTACCCGCAAAACACCAGTCTCAATGTCAACAGTGAAGAAGCGACTCTGGGTTGCTGACCTTCTAGGCAGAGTTGCAAAGAAAAAGCCATATCTCAGACTGGCCAATAAAAATAAAAGATTAAGATGGACAGTCTGAGATATGGCTTGGTACTGTATAAAAACCTACAACTACTACCAGGGCGACCCCTCTCACAGGTATGTGTTTACTTTTCAGAATTAGAAGTGTGTAGGCACAGGATGAATATTGTAAATAAAGTGTGATTAGAACTCGCAACCATAGAACTATGAGCCAACTGTTTCAACGGACTGCGCCACCAATCAGTTATAACGGGTGGGAAAAAATAGATCTAGTTGACATGATGACCACGATTGTAATCTATTTCTTGTTATGATGGATGTAGTTACGAATATAAACGTATAATCCTCATAGCCTACATGGTTATTCTCTTCGTAAAAGCACATAGATGTGTATGAAACGGGAAGCAAAAACGTTGAATTTGTTCATATGCGGAAATGTGACTTACTGCCTTTTGAATTTTGTGTAACGTCAGTAGTCTAGTCAAATAAGCATAATGCAAAATTATATTGGCACACTCCACCTGCCAATACCATTGACAAATAAGGCGCGCTGTCACTTGATTTTATAGTAAGCCTTGAGGTGGTACCACCCTGCACATCTAGAAGGGAGCGTATTTCATACCTGACCCCTCCCTTGAGATGACGTAGAGGCCTCTACGTCGCGCTAGGAGCAAAAATATCTAGATTTACTACTAAAAGACCAAACTATATCACTTTTGTAACGAACTGTCAAAATGAAGACTATAAATTATGTTTGACTATAACTAAGCCTAAACCATCTTAAAAAAAAAAGTTTTACAATTAAAGTTACTCTTTAACATCACCAGTACCACATCCTTATGATATATACAGTGGGGAGAAGAAGAATTGGTTACACTGCCGATTTTGCAGGTTTTCCTACTTACAAAGCATGTAGAGGTCTGTAATTTTTATCATAGGTACATTTCAACTGTGAGAGACGGAATCTAAAACAAAAATCCAGAAAATCACATTGTATGATTTTTAAGTAATTAATTAGCATTTTATTGCATGACATAAGTATTTGATCACCTACCAACCAGTAAGAATTCCGGCTCTCACAGACCTGTTCGTTTTTCTTTAAGAAGCCCTCCTGTTCTCCACTCATTACCTGTATTAACTGCACCTGTTTGAACTCGTTACCTGTATAAAAGACACCTGTCCACACACTCAATCAAACAGACTCCAACCTCTCCACAATGGCCAAGACCAGAGAGCTGTGTAAGGACATCAGGGATAAAATTGTAGACCTGCACAAGGCTGGGATGGGCTACAGGACAATAGGCAAGCAGCTTGGTGAGAAGGCAACAACTGTTGGCGCAATTATTAGAAAATGGAAGAAGTTCAAGATGACGGTCAATCACCCTCGGTCTGGGGCTCCATGCAAGATCTCACCTCGTGGGGCATCAATGATCATGAGGAAGGTGAGGGATCAGCCCAGAACTACTCGGCAGGACCTGGTCAATGACCTGAAGAGATCTGGGACCACAGTCTCAAAGAAAACCATTAGTAACACACTACGCCGTCATGGATTAAAATCCTGCAGCGCACGCAAGGTCCCCCTGCTCAAGCCAGCGCATGTCCAGGCCCGTCTGAAGTTTGCCAATGACCATCTGGATGATCCAGAGGAGGAATGGGAGAAGGTTATGTGGTCTGATGAGACAAAAATATAGGTTTTTGGTCTAAACTCCACTCGCCGTGTTTGGAGGAAGAAGAAGGATGAGTACAACCCCAAGAACACCATCCCAACTGTGAAGCATGGAGGTGGAAACATCATTCTTTGGGGCTGCTTTTCTGCAAAGGGGACAGGACGACTGCACCGTATTGAGGGGAGGATGGATGGGGCCATGTATCACGAGATCTTGGCCAACAACCTCCTTCCCTCAGTAAGAGCATTGAAGATGTGTCGTGGCTCGTTCTTCCAGCATGACAACGACCCGAAAAACACACAGCCAGGGCAACTAAGGAGTGGCTTCGTAAGAATCATTTCAAGGTCCTGGAGTGGCCTAGCCAGTCTCCAGACCTGAACCCAATAGAAAATCTTTGGAGGGAGCTGAAAGTCCGTATTGCCCAGCGACAGCCCCGAAACCTGAAGGATCTGGAGAAGGTCTGTATGGAGGAGTGGGCTAAAATCCCTGCTGCAGTGTGTGCAAACCTGGTCAAGACCTACAGGAAACGTATGATCTCTGTAATTGCAAACAAAGGTTTCTGTTCCAAATATTAAGTTCTGCTTTTCTGATGTATCAAATACTTATGTCATGCAATAAAATGCAAATTAATTACTTAAAAAATCATACAATGTGATTTTCTGGATTTTTGTTTTAGATTCCGTCTCTCACAGTTGAAGTGTACCTATGATAAAAATTACAGACCTCTACATGCTTTGTAAGTAGGAAAACCTGCAAAATCGGCAGTGTATCAACTACTTGAGATCTGGAGACTGGCTAGGCCACTCCAGGACCTTGAAATGCTTCTTACGAAGCCACTCCTTCGTTGCCCGGGCGGTGTGTTTGGGATCATTGTCATGCTGAAAGACCCAGCCACGTTTCATCTTCAATGCCCTTGCTGATGGAAGGAGGTTTTCACTCAAAATCTCACAATACATGGCCCCATTCATTCTTTCCTTTACACAGATCAGTCGTCCTGGTCCCTTTGCAGAAAAACAGCCCCAAAGCATGATGTTTCCACCCCCATGCTTCACAGTAGGTATGGTGTTCTTTGGATGCATCTCAGCATTCTTTGTCCTCCAAACACGACAAGTTGAGTTTTTACCAAAAAGTTATATTTTGGTTTCATCTGACCATATGACATTCTCCCAATCCTCTTCTGGATCATCCAAATGCACTCTAGCAAACTTCAGACGGGCCTGGACATGTACTGGCTTAAGCAGGGGGACACGTCTGGCACTGCAGGATTTGAGTCCCTGGCGGCGTAGTGTGTTACTGATGGTAGGCTTTGTTACTTTGGTCCCAGGTCTCTGCACGTCATTCACTAGGTCCCCCCGTGTGGTTCTGGGATTTTTGCTCACCGTTCTTGTAATCATTTTGACCCCACGGGGTGAGATCTTGCGTGGAGCCCCAGATCGAGGGAGATTATCAGTGGTCTTGTATGTCTTCCATTTCCTAATAATTGCTCCCACAGTTGATTTCTTCAAACCAAGCTGCTTACCTATTGCAGATTCAGTCTTCCCAGCCTGGTGCAGGTCTACAATTTTGTTTCTGGTGTCCTTTGACAGCTCTTTGGTCTTGGCCATAGTGGAGTTTGGAGTGTGACTGTTTGAGGTTGTGGACAGGTGTCTTTTATACTGATAACAAGTTCAAACAGGTGCCATTAATACAGGTAACAGGAGTGGAGGACAGAGGAGCCTCTTAAAGAAGAAGTTACAGGTCTGTGAGAGCCAGAAATCTTGCTTGTTTGTAGGTGACCAAATACTTATTTTCCACCATAATTTGCAAATAAATTCATTAAAAATCCTACAATGTGATTTTCTGGATTTTTTCCCCTCAATTTGTCTGTCATAGTTGACGTGTACCTATGATGAAAATTACAGGCCTCTCTCATCTTTTTAAGTGGGAGAACTTGCACAATTGGTGGCTGACTAAATACTTTTTTCCCCCACTGTATATATATATGCATAAGCCAACGTGACTGCAAGAGACAGGTTGGAATGTCTGACTGAAATATGGGACAAATCAACCTTTTTTCTAAATTAGTTGTGTTTGAATTTGTTGATACAATTCTGGACATGATTGTTTGGTTGCGGGACGAAGTGCCAAAATGCGGGACTGTCTCGCACAATCTGGGACATGTATTCACCCTAAAGAGCGCTAACTAGCTTGTGTAGCTAGCTAGTTATGAGTTCAGCACTCAGGAGGACCGGTTGACATCCGCACTTATCTAGCTAACGAGCAACAAGCAATGAAACCCAATTTCAGCTAGCTACTGTAAAACATTTCAGATGAGCACCACTCTTCCCTGAATCATTCCCTTGCCATATGATTTAACATGTAGATAGCTAGCCAGCTACACAAGTCTTGACTGCACAGATGCTGAAATCTCTACAATACTTCACCTGGAAAAAGGTTTGAACATTTCAGGATTCAGGAACCAGATCAACACATGACATGACAACGTATGAAAAATTTATGCACTCACTAACTGTAAGTCGCTCTGGATAAGAGCGTCTGCTAAATGACTAAAATGTAAAATGTAATGACATACGGATCCAATAATCTGCACAGGCCTGTGTATCTCAATCACACCCCCTTTATCTCTGTCTGACTGTCTCCCTGTAAAGCTGGTGGAGGTGCACACAGGGAGATGGCAGGTGCCGTTACCCCAGCTGAAGTTGCTGCGGACGGCTCTGACCTGCTTCACCAGAGCCACTGTTGCCTACCCCGATGACTGTCAGCACGTCTGTTATGCTCTCAGCAGCCTGGCTTTGTAAGTACTTGTATGGTTTTCATTATGTAATGCTGACCCACACTGTACTGTGCTGAATTTAATATTATCTTTCTACAATGCACTATCCAGCACGACTCTGTTGAACTGAACTGAACTGGCCTGTTTATTTATTTAATTTTAATTTTTTATATATACACACAGTGCATTCGGAAAGTATTCAGACCTGTTTACTTTTTCCACATTTTGTTACGTTACAGCCTTATTCTAAAATTGATTAAATTACATTTTTCATCAATCTACACAAAACACCCCATAATGACAAAGCAAAGACAGGTTTTTAGAAATTTTTGCAAATTTATAAAAAATAAAAACAAATAGTTTATTTAAATAAGTATTCAGACCCTTTGCTATGAGACTCGAAATTGAGCTCTGGTGCATCCTGTTTCCATTTATCATCTTTGAGATGTTTCTACAACTTAATCGGAGTCCACCTGTGGTAAATTCAATTGATTGGACATGATTTGGAAAGGCACACACCTGTCTATATAAAGTCCCACAGTTGACAGTTTATGTCAGAGCAAAAACCAAGCCATGAGGTTGAAATAATTGTCCGTAGAGCTCAGAGACAGGATTGTGTTAAGGCACAGATCTGGGGAAGGATACCGAAAAATGTCTGCAGCATTGAAGGTCCCCAAGAACGCAGTGGCCTCCATCATTCTTAAATGGATAAGTTTGGAACCACCAAGACTCTTCCTAGAGCTGGACGCCTGGCCACACTGAGCAATCACGGGAAGAAGGGCCTTGGTCAGGGAGGTGACCAAGAACCCGATGGTCATTCTGACAGAGCTCCAGAGTTGATCTGTGGAGATGGGAGAACCTTCCAGAAGGACAACCATCTCTGCAGCACTCCGCCAATTAGGCCTTTATGGTACAGTGGCCAGACGGAAGCCACTCCTCACTAAAAGGCACATGACAGCCCGCTTGGAGTTTGCCAAAAGGCACCTAAAGGACTCTCAGACCATGAGAAACAAGATTCTCTGTTCTGATGAAACAAAGATTGAACTCTTTGGCCTGAATACCAAGCATCATGACTGGAGGAAACCTGGCACCATCCGTACGGTAAAGCAGCATCATGCTGTGGAGATGTTTATCAGCTGCAGGGACTGGGAGACTAGTCAGGATCGAGGGAAAGATGAATGGAGCAAAGTACAGAGAGATCCTTGATGAAAACCTGCTCCAGAGCGCCCAGGACCTCAGACTGGGGCGAAGGTTCACCTTCCAACAGGACAACGACTCTAAGCACACAGCGAAGACAACGCAGGAGTGGCTTCAGGACAAGTCTCTGAAGGGCCTTGAGTGGCCCAGCCAGATCTCGGACTTGAACCCGATCAAACATCTCTGGAGAGACCTGAAAATAGCTGTGCAGCGACACTCCCCATCCAACCTGACAGAGCTTGAGAGGATCTGAAATATTTTGGTACCCTTCCCCAGATCTGTGCCTCGACACAATCCTGTCTCTGAGCTCTACGGACAATTTCTTTGACGGCTTGGTTTTTGCTCTGACATGCACTGTCAACTGTGGGACCTTATATAGACAGGTCTGTGCCATTCCAAATCATGTCCAATCAATTGAATCTACCACAGGTGGACTCCAATCAAGTTCTAGAAACATCTCAAGGATGATCAATGGAAACAGGATGCGCCTGAGCTCAATTTTGAGTCTCATAGCAAAGGGTCTGAATACTTATGTAAATAAGGTATTTCTGTTTTACATTTTTTTATACATTTGCACAAAAAAAATAAAAAAAACCTGTCATTATGGGGTATTGTGTGTAGATTGATGAGTAAAAATATGTATTTAATATTTTTTAGAACAAGGCTGTAACATAATGTGGAAAAAGGGAAGGGGTTTGAATACTTTCCAAATGCACTATATGTGTGCGTTTGTATGTATGTATTAATGTCATTTTCAGGAGCTTCTTTGAGCTTATGCTGTTCTTTGGGAAAGAGGAGTTCCTGGAGGCCCCCCTGAAGGACATATTAGCCTCTTTTCAGGTGAGGCAAGAAAGTGTCATGTATTTATTATCACTGAGTGCAATCATCATGATGATCCATGTAAAGTGTGTTAATGTGTGTTCCATTTCCTCTGTAGGCCTGTCACCGCCGCCTTCTGAGACACAGGAACGTCTACCTGCTGCAGGTGAGGCAGGTCATCAAAGATGGCGGTCCCTGGGAGAGACCCGCTCTGCAGGCCATCCTGAAAGACACAGCCCTCACACAGACAGAAGGTACACACACACATTCTCTGTTTTTTTGTTTTGTTTGTGAGGTTCCTATGCATTTCTTATTGTCTCTTATCGCCTTACTTCTCCTCTCTTCCTTCTCCCTCTCTCTCTCCATGGTACAGTGGAGAAGTATTTGAGCTCGGAGAAGCCAGTGTTCTTTGAGCTGCGTGTGCGCTACCTGCAGGCCTGTGAGCGAGTGCAGGAGGCCATGGCCCTGGCTAAGTGCTGCCTGGAGCACCCAGAGGTGTGGAGGCACCTGTTCTTCCACCAGGCCTACCTCACCTGCCTGTACAAGGCCTCACTACACCAACACCTGCACAAGGAGGTCCAGCAACCATCTATAACTACCTTTCACTCTATCTTCAGACAGACTCTCTAATTAGAGTAGATTGATGGACAATGAGCATCATCAGTGTGGACTCATGGTTTTGTTTCCTCCCTCAGATGGCTGAGATAGATGGTAGAGGCGCAGTAGAGATCATCTGTAACGCAGAGAGCCAGGAGAAAGATGAGCTGCTGCTGTCTCTGTGCAAAGCCTTCCTCAGCCAGCAGCTACACAACGGAGACATGTACTACATCTGGTCAGTAACACTGTGATATATACTTAATGTGCTAAATCTGGTCAGGGCTCACCACTATAAACAGGGCTTCATAATAATACAGGACTGTAACATAATAGAATGTTGTGTTCATACAGGGATCTGGTGTTCCTGTGGAGCAGACTATACTTCAGGGCCCATCCCTCTAAGCAGGGCTTCCTGTCTGAGTGTCGCCAGCTGATGCTCTCCGCCATCAACGCCAGCGCCATCTTCCCCTTCATCAAAATCATCACAGCAGAGGTGGATGTACAGCCAACCACCAACAAATATGACACTCTTGTTTGCTTGTAGTCCTAGTTTACCCTGACTTAGAAATCAACTTTGTTGTTCTGCTATTTCCATAATTAAATGTAACACATTGTTCTTATTTCTTTGCCAGATGGGTAGTGAGGGAGTGCCGTTGTGTGTGGAGCTTTGTGCTGCAGCGTTACAGACAGACCTCCAGTCTGACCCTGTAACACGCTGTCTGCTGTGTAAGACCATCGCCTTCCTGCTCCCCAGGGACCTGGAGGTGTGTCGCCTCTGTGCCCTGCTGGTGTTTTGTCTGGAGCGCAGCATGGAGGCCTACAAGACCATGTATTTGCTCTACACACACCCTGATGAGGAGCCACACCCCCACCACACCCATGTCAGAACCAACATCCGCTTCTATATCCTACAGGTCAGAGAAGGGCACCAGGGAGTACGTTTGTTAAAAAAGTATTTAATTGTACTGTATGGCATTATGAAAGCCCATAGGGCTATTCCATTTTTTTCTATGTAGGAAATGGTGGATTTCCTCATTGAGGATACATGTTGTAATAATAATGTAATACTTATAATTGAAAACTCTGTCCTGGTCCAGGTGCTGAAGGAAGGTCTGTTCTTTGACCCAGAGTTCTGGAATCTGCTGACCCTGAGAACACACTGTCTGGAGCTGATGACTGACAAGGCCATGAGGGATGCTCTCAATGACCTGAAGGAGGAAGAGGAGTTGGAGCAGGTGGAGGAGGAGTGGATACCAAGCTACTGGATGGAGGAGGAGACATGCAGAATACACACAGACGCCTCCCACCTCCACCCACACACCAACACAGCACTGGAGAGCTCTGAGACTGTAGGCCAGGAACCTAAAGAGGGATTGAATGGGGATGCTCCTGAGTCACAGACAGACTTCCCTGTGAGGAGGAGGAAGAGGAGGTGGAGGAGAAGGAAGTGTAGGTCGGATGTTGAGTATGCTGACGACCCAGACATTAAGTACTCCCTCATTCCCAATCACAGTTCTGAAAGCTCCACCAAGCTACCGGCCAATCGGCAGAGGGAATACCTGGCCAGGCATGTGAAGAACAAGATCCTGAAGAGACGCAGCAGGAAACCAAGATGGCTGCTTCTGGAGATGACCAGACAGACGGAGAATGTGTCCCCGGGGGGAACGAGGGAGAAGAGACGGGAGGGAATGAGAGAGAGAGGAGAGGGTAAGAGACAGGGAGGGGAGGGCAAAGAGAGGAGGAAAGAGGGGGGGCATGAAAAGGAGGATAAGAGAGAGATGAGGCAGGGAAGGGGGAGTAAGAGACCTTACCATAGGACTATACCTGGCATGGAGCTCTCCTTCCCTGAAAATGAAGTGCCTGTTGACCAGGAAATGGTAGAGAATCATCTAGAACCCAGTGTTCGTATTAAACAACAGCACAGTGAGTCTGAGAAATATGTTAACATGGGACAGCCTAATGGTGTATATGGTGAGAGACCGTTTGAGTATAAACCAGAGACAGATGTAGAGTCTTCAGTGGTGGAGCCTTCAGTGGTGGAGCCTTCAGTGGTGGAGCCTTCAGTGGTGGAGCCTTCAGTGGTGGAGCCTTCAGTGGTGGAGCCTTCAGTGGTGGAGCCTTCAGACGTAAAGCCTTTAGACTCCAAACGTTCAGTAGTAGAGCCTTCTGACATAGAGCCTTTAGAAATAGAGCCTTTAGAAATAGAGCCTTTAGACGTGGAGCCTTTAGACGTGGAGCCTTTAGACGTGGAGCCTTTAGACGTGGAGCCTTTAGACGTGGAGCCTTTAGACGTGGAGCCTTCAGATGTGAAGGTTTTAGAAGGTCCCAGTGAGCAGACTGACCCAGAGCTGGATGGTCCAGCCTTGGAGATGGAGGAGTGTCCACTGAAACTGTTCCACATCTACGCCAAACTTTCGAAAGGGACGGCTGCTAAGGAACTACTTTCGAGAGAGAGTAAATTCACAGTGACAGAGGTGGGACCAGACTCAAACACTCAGGTTAGTGTTATATAGAGCAAACAAATCTAGTGATTCATTAATCTATAATGTTAATCTATAATGTATTCATAACTGTCCTCCAGAGTTCTTTAGTGTTTATCTAGTACACCCGGTTCTGTGAATGTCACCTCTCCACTTTGACAGCATAACAGCTTGTTTCTGCTCCTGCAGGGTGAGGACACAGAGCCAGGCAAGGCTCCAGTACGCTCCAAACACCTGCGCTTCAACTGCAGCCACTGCCAGAAGCTCTACAAGGGAGGTAACGTGGTGAGACACACCCTGGCCCACCTGAAGCTGAGAAAGACCAGGCTCAGCTGTGTCTTCTGCGGCAAACACTTCCAAAGGTACAACCGCGCCAAGGAACATGTTCTAGAGCACATAGAGGAACTGAGAACTTCCACGGCCAACATTAAGGTCAAACCCGCTGTCAATGGAGACACAGATCCCTCAAAGAATATTAATCAATCCTCAGAGAACGAAGCGAAACCCAGTGAGAACGTGACCGAGCCCTCGACTCTGACGGACCAGCCTCCTAAACCCAAACGTGTTAAAGTGTTGCCGGTGGTGAGCAAGCAGAGTAGAATCATCCAGAACCTGAGAAACCTGATCAGAAAGACCCAGAACCAGAAGTGTAAAACGGACATGGACAACCTGAAGTCTGTGGAAGTGACTGATGAACAGGTGACTGTGAGAGACAAAGTGGTGATCGTGAGAGAGGTGGTGCCTGGGAAGGAGACCGAGGGAGGAGAGGACAAAGAGAGTGAGGGAGGAGAGGAGGAGGGGAAGCAGAAGCAGTACCACCTGTGTCCTTCAGAGGGCTGTGACAGCATCTTTATGAAGATCGGCCCATCGCTGCTGAGACACGCTGTCACCTACCACATGGAGGACGCAGCCGTCCTGGACAAGACCTTCCAGTGGGGGAAGGGGAAGTGCCAGATCTGCCAGAGGTAAGAAGTTTCTTTCCCCACAGATTATTTCCCAGGTCAGTTAGGCCCCACCTAGACCAAAATGTATCTAGGTGGGGCGGGGTTCCGACTGTACTATGGTGTCACTTATGTCTCCATCTGTTTCTTGTTGTGCCCCAGGCTCCTGTTGGTGTTTGAGCACTACAGAGACCACATGAAGCTCCACGATGCTCCTCTGAAACATGCGTGTCTCCATATGAACTGTGGCCAGCGCTTCAAGACTGCCCAGGAGCTCAAAGACCACATAGACACCCACTGCCCACTCCAGGCCCCTTGTGGTTACTCTGGCTGTAGGAAGATCTTCTTTACCCTCCCCTCTCTCCACGACCACGAGTGGAGGCACTACACCCAGCCCCAGTCTAAAGACGAGCTGGAGCTGGGCGCTACCACAGAGCTGAGCCCTGAGGGCGAGGCCCCCTGGAAACAGAGGGCGAAGAGCCAGGATGTGCCAGTGCACGGGTGGAGGGGGCAGAGGGAAATGCCTACTCCCAAAAGCAGGCGCTCTGATCCTCATGAGAAGTGCCTTCACTGTAACAGGTGAAAAGAGGGAGACTCCACACACTGCTGTCAAATTATTTCTATAAAAACAACATTTCAACCATGAGGTGTTCATCAGGCCAGGCCTGAGACACGACTTGCAGAAGCTAGTGAGGACACCAAATCTACTGCTCTCCATGATTAGGCTTCATCTTGGTCTGGGGAACCAGCCCGTAGATGGTTGAGCTGGTAAATTAATTAAGGCCTGGTGTAAATGGTGTTGCTTATGTCCCTATCCTTTTCTGTTCCAGGTACCTGTGGAACCACCAGCACTTCCTAGAACACATGAAGATCCATGATGCTCCTCTGAAACAGGTGTGTCTCCACCTGAACTGTGGCCAGCGCTTCTCCAGAACCCAACTACTCTGGGAGCACATGGATACGCACCTGCCTCTCCAGGCCCCCTGTGGGTACTCCGGCTGTGACCTGATCTTCTCCCGCCTCCCCTCTCTCCACGACCACGAGTGGAGGCATTACATCCAGGGCCAGCCTAAAGACGAGCCGACAGAGAAGCAGAGTGCTACCAAAGAGGAGGGGCAGACTCCGGAGTCAGACACCAACGGTAACAACTATGACGGCCCTATGGAGACTCCAGACACTGTTCATGGTGCTGTCACCACCCCTCCTAGTGACTGCACACTGAAACTCATCAACGGCCATGATGAAAAGGATAGGAAAGACCAAGCCCCCCAGACAGCCGTCCCTGCCACCACTACCACCTCTCCCACACCCCCATCCCAAACCACCACACCCACACACCCCCATCCCAGAATCCTCCAAAACCTCACTGAGCCAATGACCATGAGGGACGTGGACAATATCGTCACTTTGGCTCAGGTGATGCCAGGCGGAGAGGAACCAGTCATCGCGGAACACAAGACTTTCAAACCAGAGGATCCTTCCTACCTACCACTGGCCAAAGCCCCCCTCATCCGCCCGCCCCCCTCTACATACCTGACCGAGGCAGCCCTCAGCATGCGCAAGCGCAGGAAGCCCAGCGAGGTCACTTCCCGCGGGCCTGGCAAAAAGAGTAAGGCTGCGGTAAAGAGGAGTGTGGTGGGGAAGAAGGAGGTGTTGGCTGAGAAGGAGGCCCCCCCTCCTCAAAGACAGCGTTGCTCCAAGTGTTTCTCCTCCTTCACTAGCCCAGAGGAACTGGAGAAACACCTCTCCCAAAACACCTGCTCCTCCCTCTTCAGCTTCGACTCAGATGATGACAGTGAGTAGCGGACATGGGAGTTTGTGTTCACTGAATTTGTCAAATCTAAATTCATTTTTAAAAGTGTATATATATATATATATATATATATATTTTTTTTTAACACTTTATTCAGATAGTAAGGAAATTACATGTGGAGATGGGCGAAGTGGGAGAAACAGAGGGAAGGGAGTTGCAAATGTAACGGGGAGCTAGGGCTGTGACGATTATTACATTTTGGGTAACGATTAATTGTCATGCAAATGGACACTTATTATCATAAGTGTAATTTGTTGAAACATGTTTTGAGGTTGTAATGTACCATAATACATCTTTGAAAATTACACTTAATGAATACAGCACAGCTCAACACAAATGAAGCTCTTCCTCTCGACCGTGCCATTCTGCTCGTAAAATGATTACAAACCTTACCCTCTGTATGGAAAAAATATATAATTTGCTATTGCGTAAACGATCTAATACAAAGTATTAAGACGATTATGACTGTTAATAATAATAATAATAATATGCCATTTAGCAGACGCTTTTATCCAAAGCGACTGACAGTCATGTGTAATTGTTGGTTACACAATTATACAATTATTGTGCCAGCCCTACGTTACCTCTACACCACGGCTCTGCACAAGAAATCAACATTTTTACAACTGAATATCAAAAGGGAGAATGTTTTGAAACAACATGAACTTGATCAACAATTTTTCAAAATGTTCTCTCATTTGTCCCAGCTGCTTATACAAAAAACATTTGCATAGTAATGTGACAGCTGTTTTGTAAAGCAAGTATTTATTTATGCAAATATAAATGTTGATATTTTCCTTCTCAGGTTAGTGGTGAAGAGGAATGGGAGTGAAATGTTCTTCATGGTGCCAGCGGAGAATGATTTTCTGTTAAAGTTCGAGCACTACAGAGACCATATGAAGCACCACAATGCTCCTCTCAGACAGGTGTCTCCACTTCTGTGTTTTATCTGTACTCTCTGAACTGGGCCTAATACAGGCACTACTAACAGACAATCAGCTCTGAGAGCTGTAGGGCCAGATTCTCATGGCACTAAAGAGCCGGGCACTAAAAATACAACACACACAATCCTCTGGAATCACTGTACATAAGTCTGGACCGAACAGTACTGCCTTTCAGTCATTACAATACTTTGTTCAATTCTTATTTGCTTTAAAATCAGTATGAAGAATCACACTGTAGGTACAGTGTTTCAAAAGTACTTCTAATTATATTCTGTTTGGCATAAGTTTTAGTTGGCACATAAAATGTATATTTTAGTTCAGTATTTTAACTGATTTTGTTCTAATGTCAAATGAAACGGTTTCACAATGTATTAGAAATTGATCATCTATGCATTTAATTAAAATAAATATTTTGTAAAAGAGAATCAAAATGCATTTGAGAATAAAAATCACTGTTGAGCCCATAATGGGATGAATATAGCGATGTGCACTTACCTGCATTGGTCGTTTATTTATATGTACAAATGTTGATATATTTAAGTTTGTACTCAATGTAAATATCCTCAATTCAGCTCTATTTTTCTTAAAGAAAAATGTCAGACTTTTGTTTTCAATAAACAATTTACAGTATGAACCAATGTAGTGCTTTACTGCAATGGGTCAACAAGGGAGAGCGCAACCAGTGAACTATAAGAAATTATTTATTTCAGATGACAAATTGCATAATTTCCATCATAACAAAAGTATTGCTTCAGAGTTGGATCCAGGCAAAAGCCATGACAGTGTTGTTCTCTACAGGTTTGCATGACATGTTTTTTCTTCCTGACAATTACAAAGAGAAATGAGGTAAGTTTAGGGAAGTACAGTAGTCGTCAGAGCAGACTGAGCTCTCTCCAACTTTTAGGGTATCATTCAGAGTACAAGCTCTTACTGTTGCAGATGCATGAAACCTTACTAAAGCAGTATTCTTCATTACTGGTCCTGGAGCTAATCAAGGTCTGAAACAGGTATGTTAGTGCAGGGCTGGAACAAAAGCCTGCACATACTGTGACTATCCAGGAACAGGAGTAAAGAACACTGCCCAACTGGAATTTCCCAGCAACTTGTCTACCAGTGTATTACTTACTAGTAGTTATAACTGGTAGTATGGAGTCCTAGTGCCTGTGCTACAATAGGCCCTGTGGTTGGCAGTAGGGGTTAGGAGTAGTTGTAATAGGAGTGCTAGCTATAGATGTGGCCAGGGTCTGAGGTACTCTCTCTCATGCAGGGTTAGAAGGCACTGGCTAGAGAACAGGGTCATATCATATTCTAACTACAGGCTTCAGGATCAGAGGATACAGTATCCCAGGCATTCAGTAGTACATGCATCAAACTAACGCATTCCAGTCATTGTAACATGCATTTCAGTGAATGAGACAGTAAACATAGTAATGCCTAGTAATACTTATAAACAGTATCTAGGGTTGGCTTAGCCTTTGGAGCAGGAGCGCTTTCCTCTCACTGGAGAATCTGCTTCACTAGAGGTACAGCCAGTCTCTCACAGACAGAAACCCAACAAACAAAGCCAAACATAGGAGTGGGAGACAGAGCAAATGGTTAAGCTACATCAGGATTTGACAAAAATAGTACACTACACTCTGCAGGTATATGAATGGTACAGATAGTACATGTTATAGTGATATGACAACAGTTTTCCAGATTTCGCTCATACAAGAAGTCCTCTCCTCCCATTGCATCATGGGGCAGCTGACCTGAGATAAACACACAAGTGCATTATGGGTAAAGAGGGAGACATACCCCTCCGTTGTCATACCGTGGGAGAGTTCTAGAAACAGATGGGCTAGAAGAGACTTGGTGTGCTACACAGTGCAAAGCTCTTTCTGGAGAGCAGATTTCTGACAATGAACTGGTACCTGGCTATACAGAGACCAGCACAATGTGGTGTGCATAAAACAGGAGATGAACAAACAATTTGGGATAAAAGTTTTACTAAACAGTTTTAGATCTTTTTTTATAGATAAATAACTAACTTTTTTAATTTTGTTAGAAAAAGTACAAATGTGTCCTGTACGTGTTGAATTGGATCATAAACATGCATGGAATTAATTAAGCCTTCCTAACATATACAGTATTAAGAAAAATATTCATAATCAATGATAAAACAAATTTATAATAAGTAGGTGCGTGCTAAAATGCATCATTAGCACTTTCAAGGCTTGAAATGGAAGACCCAGTTAGAAGAGAAAGTAAAACCAGGTTAAAAGTATAGGTTCACATGCTGTGGGAGAGTAGGGGAGCAGGGGGGAAGAAAGGATTAGAGTTAGACACACAGACCTCTTTACTGAGGATAGACATGTCTGCAGGCTGAGCTGTGTGTTTCTCTGTGTTGCTGACAGAACAGTGTGTTCCTATGGCTTGTTGCTCTGCCTCAGTGAGAGCTGTTGGTGCTCCAGTCATAGGGCAGGTAGCTGACTTTGATCTTCCCAGAGGAGAGAACACGCTGCAGGCTGGACCTCTTGGGAGACTCCCCCATGTGCTCCAGGATCCAGTTCAGCAGCTGAAGGAGAGAAAGGGCAAGGCTGGGTTAGGACAGGAGACAGTACTCTTCAGTGAAAGGTCAGTGTTGAGGTACCTTTTCATCTGTGCCTCCGAAGTCTGCCTTGTACCACTTAAATATCTGGCTGAGACAGACCTCCCCCTTCTCAGAATCCACCACACAGCCGTCATCGTTCTCCAGGAAGGACTCGGCCGCGGTGCGCAGCTGACTGTCGATGTCCTGATCGGTCAGAGAGGACACATCATGTGACTTTACTCAAACAACTCCAGATTCAGAAAATACTGTGTCACTACATGTGCAGTATTTGCAGTGTAAAAACCCAGTGTGTTACCTGTGGAGTGTATGTTTTGATGGGTGGACATCCCTTAGCTCCACAGTTCAGAGCAAAATGGATGAGAGGCTCAGAGTCTGGGAGAGCCACCTGGTGGACAAACAGAGAACAGCCACTATCACCACTTCAACCACTGCCACAGATTGCGCTCCGTTTCAGATAAAAACATACATTTGCACCAGTAAATTAGAGATGTGAATAAACAACCAAAAAATATAATAAGTTGAATAGCTTTCCCTGTCCAGAGGAGTAGTCTACCTGTAGGCGAGGGTCAGTCTTAGAGAAGGGCCTGAGAAGCTGTGCGACGCCCTTTCTGTTCCCTCTCAGAACTCCATTCTCTATGTCCTGCAGAGTGAACACCTCTCCTCCAATCAGGTAGCTCACGTAGTTAAAGAACTACAAACAACACACAGGAACAAATTAATGTCACTGGTAAACAGAGTATTACTTGTTGTCTTTCCACAATCCTAGATGGTTCCCTTACCTTGTATCTCTGCCACATGTTGGTTGGGGCTCCCATCCGAAGGTTTCCGTGGATGACCAGAGCGTTGTAGGTGTTGATGAAGAAGGCTAGTTTCTCCTCTCTGGTCAGCGACAGCAGCTCCACTCTTTGTAGCTGAACAGCTAGCTCACAGTAGCGCTCAAACACTGGGCTCAGGGACATGGCCTTGTAGTCCACACACTGTACGGAAACACACATATTGTAGTACAACTGTCATGTCATAATAGATCTGCTGTAGTGGAGGGTTCAGTTAGTTCAGTGTGACTGTTACCTTTCCATCAGAAGAGAGGTACTCAGAGAACAACTTCAGGATCATATCCCTTAGAATGGCAGACAACTCAGCAGCTGAGAGAGAGAAAGACAGACAGAGAGAGACAGAGGGAGCGACAGAATACAGACATAATTATATCATTAATCATCTATTTTTACCAGATAATGAGCAGATGTCCTAACTAGGAAAGACATTCTGATCCAGGTTACTTCTTATGCAAGACAAGAAGAGGCCTGCAGAAAGGCCAAACTCATGCAATGACAGAGACTCACACACACCCACCCACGTTCGCACAAACACAGACAGATCAGCTGCTTTTAAGGACACCTACTGCAATCCCAGTTAATCGTATCAGGGATTTAATGTAATAGCCCACACCAGGTGTGGGATTGCCTCTTACACTTGTGTGTTTAACTAGTAGAAAGAGAAGCTCCAAGCAGGAAAGCCCCCACCTACACAGTGGGATTTATCTGAAAGTGCCTAAACCACCTAAAGAGCAAGCAGAGGCAACAGTAGCAAGGAAAAGCTCTCTAGTAGGAAGAAACTTTAAGAAGAATCAGATTCGGAAGAGGGAGTCCTCCCTACCTACCCTGTAAAGGGGAGCATGCAGCGGTCTGTCCTGCGTTCAGGGCCGAGTGAGGGTCATGTTCCATCAGCCTGTACAGCCTGTCACTCACTCCAAACCCCTCCCCCTTCCCTGCCCCAGCCACGCCCACCATGTACTTCCTGTCCAGTAACACCTGCCCAGTCTCGCATGCCTTAGTCATCTCTGCCAGAATCCGAGAATAAGAATCAGTTAGAATCATAGAATAATAGAATTAGAATCTGTATGTAGAATTTAGGAATGTCTGTTTACTCATTCTCATTCCTTACCCATGCCCCTCTCTTTCTGCAGCCAGCCAACCAGCTGTGCTCCTGTGAAGCTGTTTCTGCACATGCTCAGTCTCCTCCACTGACATCCAATCACATCGCTCCGCTTGAGATCCTCTACCACGTCCGCTAACGCATCCCTCTCACACTTAAACTCTGCAGAGAATGCACATAAGGCTTGGCAATCATCTACTGTGTGAATGGATGCCACTCACCAGACATCAGTACTACAGGAATGTGTAAGAGAAAATGTTTGGAGCAATTGACAATATTTATTTCTTACTCTAGTCCATATGAATGTATTTTATGAACCTGAGTGGTAGCAGAGGAGCCTATAACTCAGAGACACATATTGGAGCTGGGCAGAGAGGCCAGGTGTTGGCTGGTCTGGGGCTATCAGGTAACACTGATCCATTGTCTCTGCATGGGCCTCTGTCTGCCGTGGTGACAGGAGATGAGCACGCACGCACACACACACACCCACAGTGAAACAAAACCAGCCTGTCTCTCATGCAGCAGACGCCAACATTCCACACTGACAGACAGACAGACACTTCTTCCCCAGGTCTTATGATACTGATATTCCAGCTGGTATTCCAACAGTAGCATGTCCAAATAACCCTGTCGAATCAGAGCTCATGTTTATAACTAGAGGAAGACTAGATTAGTCTCGCTACAGGAGGTCTGTCTTTTAGAGTCTTAGAACTGCAATAGGAGAAAATTGTTATTTCCCACTAATAAACACATTTGACTGAATGTGTCTTTGGAGCCATTCCAGTCTACCCATTCCAGTTCTAAGGTGCAAACATTTCTATAGAGCAGGGCCCAACTCTAAATTGACCGTAATCTAATCAGGCACATGGCTTCTTGTGTGTGTCCACTGACCTCCATCAGCCTCTCCAGCTGTGTCTGAGCCATCTGATTGGTTCTCCTTGGGCAGGGGCAGGGCGTCTAACGAGACAGGCTCCTCCCTCACCAAACGCACCAGACGCTCCAACTCCTCTGGAGGCTGCAGAGAGTAGTGTTTATTTCACCTATATTTCCAGGCAAGGCATTCAGAAGCAATCCTCTACAATAACAAACCCGCCTTTTGTAAATGTTTTGGTAAAGTGCCTAAAGCTCACTCAACTGAATGACTCAAGTGAGTGACTGAATATACAGCAGTCAAAGAGACAATGTATCCATCCATCTGAGAGACAGTGTTCTCACCAGTTTCTGCATGTCATCATTCCCCCCGACGTGGACACTGTTGAAGAAGATCTGAGGAACTGTGCTCCGACCGGTCAGCTCCTTCACTCTGCCCCGGAGCTCTGGGTGCTTCCCCATGTCTACATCACACACAGGCAGGCCCAGACCGCCCAGGCTTGTCTTAGCCTGCACACAGTGGGGACAGCCCAGCACAGAGTACACCGTCACCCTGCCCAGCACCCTGCCCTCAGTCTCCCCCATCTAAACAGCCACCGGAGAGGAGAAACAGAGAAGAGACAACACTTCCTTGAGGAGGTGTAGCAATAATTATGTACCAAGTTCCTTGTGGGGAAATTACAGTGATTTGCAATATGGGTTCACTGGGTTGATGAAATCATGGTACACTATCAACTTCCTCCTCAAAACAAGCTTACCTGAAGAGTTAATCAATACTGGATAAAGTCTATTTTTACCTCCATTATGACATTTAACACACTGTTGAAGGACTTTGTAGTTTAAACATTGTCAACAACTTCCTGATAATAAATCTGACAAGGTAGAGCAATCATGAGAAAAAAAAAAAAAACTATTGGTGATTGCGTGTGCATTTGTCATTCAGGCTAGTGTATGGGACACTTAGCTACTGATTACGTCCACTTTGTCCACGCTACTGCAAAGAGATTCATCCTCTCTGGTAATAGGGTTAGTTTAGGGTTGGGGTTGTTTGGGTTACTAGGGCTATTAACATACCGTTAGCTAGGAACACCCTTAGCTAATGAACGTCATCATACTGTACTAGCAAGTCCCATATAGCTAGCTACTGAATCGCTAAATGATTGCGAAGGCCAGCAGTACAATAGTGTACTATCACCTGGACACTGACCTACAATAAGCTATCATATAAAATGCATATGCTTTGACATAGCTAGCTAATGATACTTACCATAGCATAGTCTAGGTAACGTTAGCTAGTTAAATTAGCTATCATCGTTGCCTACCTTGTTTAAGCCACAACCGTTATTGCCAAATCTCAGAGATGCACGGAATAAATTATGTTCTTCTGTCGCGATAATAATGCCTTAGTATGCATTATTAAGATAAAACTACTACCTAGTACATCCTGCAAATGATTAGATAGCTCACTATAGATGGCACTGTCCGTTCCGTTCTCTATATTGTTGCGCTGTCACTTCTGCTTCTGTCTGCAGTTTGCAAACACGCGCGGAACCTTTGTGCTTTGATGAAGGATGCGTTGTTTCCTGCCGGACGTTCCCTTTGGTACCTTCGAGTGGTGGATGACGGAAGTACAACCACAGCCGTTGCAGGTGTTTACTGGGTGAAAAGTTGTATGTTATTGTTTTAAATATGCCTGTATTGTCCGATACAGAGCGTAAGGGCTGTAAAAATATGTTGGGTATCATGTCAAGGGGCGACATACTCTCGCTTAGCGATACAGTCACCAACAAAATGATTGCAGTGGAAAACATGACAGGTGAGAACTTAGCGGCTAATGTTAACTAGCCCAATAAAAATGGACTAAAGGAGCCTAACGTTACGGCTTTATAGTCCCAGGACCTTACATGTTCTGTTTAAAGGCGAATTGGCTCTGGAAGCAAAAACAGCCAAATACTCAATCTAAACGTGAATCGATTCTAAATTGCGGTTCAGTTCTATAAACATAAATCCCTCTACTTTCATATCACATCGAAATAATTTCACAAATGCAAAATACACACATTGTTATACATTGTTTTAATACAGTTGCAGCCTGCCGTATGTTTCAGTGACAACATGTTTTGGCGTCAGTCTTCAGTCTTCAGTTTATTTACATACAGGTGTTCGGAGACGCAGATAGCTAATTAGCACATGTAGCTAGTCCATCCACTGTCTTCCGTATATTTTCCGCAAACAAGCGCTGTAACATGGAAATATGTGTGGGAACCCAATCCCTATAAATGTGTGTATCAATTTATCCCCTTTTTATGATTTCTCCCAGATATGAAAGATAAGGACCTTTCATGCATCCAAACCCATACCGCAAGCCATGCTGTTAATGTTCAGATCGAAAAACAAAACACCCCCATACAGAAGACGCCTTCATCCAATGACTCTTATGTGTAATAAGAGTCATGACCAAGGGCTAGCTAACCCACTCATAGACGCTATCTACCTTTAACGTTATCTTCTGGCCAGGGCATTTTGTTAAGAGGCCCGACGCTTGTTCTGAACGTTTAAACGCATCGCTTGTGGTACGGTTTTGGAAACAAAAAATAAAAGGTTCAATTACTACACACATAATTCCAAGTTACAGCACTGTTGGCTGCAACTGTGTTAAAACAGTGTACAGTAAGTGTATATTTTGCATTTGTGAAATTATTTTGTGATATGAAAGTAAAGGGCTTTATGTTTCTAGAACCATACCGCAATTGAGAATCGATTCACATTTAGATGGGGTATTTGGCTGACAGCCAATTCGCCTCTAAACAGAACATGTAAGGTCCTTGGACTATAAGGAGTAACATTAGGCTCCTTTAGTCCATTATTGGGCTAGCTAACTAGCTAGCTGCCAACCAATGGATGCATTGCAAGTTTTGATCTGTAGATGGGATACCATAGTAAAATCTTGGGGTCGTCTTTGTCTGTTACAGAAGCAGTCGAGGCCATTCTTTCATACACCAAGGATACGGAGGAGCTGCTGAAACGAAAAAAAGTGCACCGTGATGTCATATTCAAGTACCTGGCAAAGGAGGGGGTGGTGATGCCCCCCAACAGTGAGAAACACCAGCTAGTGAAGCGGACTCTAGAGTTTTGGTCTAAGGGGAAGGTATAGACACAGCCAGTCAACATCTCACCTCACATTCTTGTTTCTGTGTTTCATAGAGGCTGAATTTGGCAAGAACATCTAACCATGTCTGTCATCTTGTGTCTGTCATCTTCTTTGTAGGAATTGGACTATCAAGCTCCAGCAGTTGAGACCAGCCTGAGTCTGAGACCAGCTGAGAGTGTCTCTGTTTCCTCTGAGGCGGGGTACAGTCCTGGTTTTGACCACCTGGCCTTGGCCAGACAGTTCTGTCAGTGGTTCTTCCAGCTCCTCAACAGTCAGAACCCCTCCCTGGGCCAGCCTCCTAAGGACTGGGGACCACAACACTTCTGGGAGGACGTCCGTCTACGCCTCTTCTCCAGGTAATAATCTGGACACAAATTATATAGTTTTTACTCTCTTAGGGACTAAGTATTGTTTTTGAGTAACTTGAGTAACTATTTTATTTTGTAATGAACATACAGTATTAAATACCATATTAATTCATAGGACCTCTCTCTGTCTCAGTGCTGATAGCCAACAGATGGAGGAGTTCCATGGCTCTGAGCTGACCAGCCTGCGTCTCCTAGCCCTGGCGAGGGACGAGAGGCTCCTGTTGAGCCCCAACCTTGACCCTCCTGGCCTGAAGGTCCTGTCCTCCCCCCACGGCCTGGTGCTGGTGGCAGTGGCAGGGACCATCCACAGAGACGATATCTGCCTAGGAGTCTATGAAGAGGTGTTTGGCCTCATCCGCTCACCGCTGGAACAGAACAGCTGGAAGATCAAGTTTGTCAACCTGAAGATCAGGGGTCAGGATGCCCTGGGAGGAGCAGAGGAGCTGGCCTCGCCTGCACTGACCTGCAGCTCCTCTGAACTACAGCTGCTCTGCAGATGAGGGACCTGAGGTGTATCCCAATAGTCTAAAGGGGCTTCCTCTCCTTGCTTCCTTTCCTTTATCTGCATTCATGAAAAACATGGACAGGTGAAAGTACATTGCCAATGTCGCCATCCACCATATTGTTTTCACCTATCTTCGGTTCTCAGGTCAGTGCAGATGAAGAAGAGAGAGAGCCACTTCAGATTATTGAAATTCACACTTGGTGTCACCAAGAGAAGGGCTCTGCTCTGTAGACCATAAGGGGGCAGTGGTTAGAGATATACCTGTGATAGATGTGAGAATGAAAGACAAAGTGCACTCAATACATTATGCAAGTAATGGAATTGTCACGATGGGATAAATATACATTTCATGCTCTGTTTTCTTCAATACTATATAGTGAGGTATTATTTACTGCTGTATCAAGAAGACAAATGTAACATTTTGCTATTAATACCATATTCCAAGGTATGTTTAGGTTTACTCTTAATGTAATGCGAAAAGTTATTGGTTGGTGTAGGAATGTGTGGTTTTCACGATTCTTTCGTTCTCTCATTTGAGGCGTTTTCCCCTCAATGACTGTGCCTTATGTAGAATAGTCTAAGCAAGCAGAAGCATGCCTCTATCATCGGTAACTGTATATGGGTGAAACTTGAAGTATATTATATTGTAAATATGTATCATACCTGTACTAAAAAGAAAACCAATTTAGACCATTGCCTGTGTACTGTTTGCTTCTCTGTATCATCCTGTTAGGCTTATATTAACTGTAAATCAAATCAAATTTTATTGGTCAGATACACATATTTAGCAGATGTTATTGCGGGTGTAGCGAAATTATTGTGTTCCTAGCTTCAACAGTCAGATATTGATCAGGTATGTGACTTACAGTGCATTTGGAAAGTATTCAGACCCCTTGACTTTTTCCAAATTTTGTTAGCCTTATTCTAAAATGGATTTAAAACATGTTTTCCCTCATCAATCTACACACAATACCCCATAATGACAAATCAAAAACAGGTTTAGACATTTTTGTCTAAAAACTGAAATATAACATTTACATAAGTAGTCAGACCCTTTACTCAGTACTTTGTTGAAGCACCTTTGGCAGCGATTACAGCCTCAAGTCTTCTTGGGTATGACGCTACAAGCTTGTCACACCTGTATTTGGGGAGTTTCTCCCATTCCTCTCTGCAGATTCTCTCAAGCTCTGTCAGGTTGGATGGGGAGCGTCGCTGCACAGCTACTTTCAGGTCTCCAGAGATGTTCGATCGGGTTCAAGTCCGGGCTCTGGCTGGGCCACTCAAGGACATTGAGACTTGTCCCGAAGCCACTCCTGCATTGTCATGGCTGTGTACGGTTGTTGTCTTGTTGGAAGGTGAACCTTCAACCCAGTCTGAGGTTCTGAGCGCTCTGGAGCAGGTTTTCATCAAGGATCTCTCTGTACTTTGCGCCGTTCATCTTTCCCTGAATCCTGACTAGTCTCCCAGTCCCTGCCACTGAAAAACATCCCACAGCATGATGCTGCCACCACCATGCTTCACCGAAGGGATGGTGCCAGGTTTCCTCCAAACGTGACGCTTGGTATTCAGGCCAAAGAGTTCAATCTTGGTTTCATCAGACCAGATAATCGTGTTTCTCATGGTCTGAGAGTCCTTTAGGTGCTCAACTCCAAGCGGGCTGTCATGTGCCTTTTACTGAGGAGTGGCTTCTGTCTGACCACTCTACCATAAAGGCCTGATTGGTGGAGTGCTGCAGAGACGGTTGTCCTTCTGGAAGGTTCTCCCATCTCCACAGAGGAACTCTGGTGCTCTTTCAGGGTGGTCATCGGGTTCTTGGTCACCTCCCTCACCACTTCTCCCCTGATTGCTCAGTTTGGCGAGGTGGCCAGCTCTAGGAAGAGTCTTGGTGGTTCCAAACTAATTCCATTTAAGAGTGATGGAGGCCACTGTATCCTTGGGGACCTTCAATATTGCAGAATGTTTTTGGTACCCTTCCCCAGATCTGTGCCTCGACACAATCCAGTCTTGGAGCTCTACGGACAATTCCTTCGACCTCGTGGCTTGGTTTTTGCTCTGACATGCACTGTCAACTGTGGGACATTATATAGACAGGTGTGTGCCTTTCCAAATCATGTCCAATCAATTGAATCTACCACAGGTGGACTCCAGTCAAGTTCTAGATAAATCTCAAGGATGATCAATAGAAACAGGATGCACCTGAGCTCAATTTTGAGTCTCATAGCAAAGGGTCTGAATACTTATGTAAGTAAGGTTTTTCTGTTAATATTTTATACATTTGCAAAAATTTCTAAAAATCTGTTTTCGCTTTGTCATTATGGGGTATTGTGTGTAGATTGATGAGGGAAAAAATTTAATTTAATCAATTTTAGAATAAGGCTGTAACGTAACAAAATGTGGAAAACGTCAAGGGGTCTGAACTTTAAGTATGCACTGTATTTACCTAGTCCTATTTTTTTATTTTACCTTTATTTAACTAGGCAAGTCAGTTAAGAACAAATTCTTATTTACAATGACGGCCTACACCGGCCATATGTTCTCTTTCGACCTGTGCAGGCTTATAATTCACTGAAGTTGCATTACTTTTCAATGTTTTGCACAATAATTTTGCAGTAGACCATCAAAACATTGGTTAATGAACTAAATGTTTATCGTTTTAATTTGATTTTTTACAGAGGTTACACGTGTTTCTATTTTGCATAATTGAAACCGAAAGCTCCCAGATATGCTCTGCTGAAATGGAACTAGTTACATAGGCATATATTGCTGGCATGATCTGACATCAAGTTACTATGAAAGGTTTCAGCACACCACATGCTTCGCCTTCGTGAACTGGTGTGGACTAACAGTGAAACGCTTACTTACGGGCCCTTACCAACGATGCAGAGAGAGAAAATAGAGAAATAATACAAAAGTAAGACACGTAATAATAAATACACATTGATTAACGATAACTTGGCTATATACACAGGGTACCAGTACCGAGTCGATGTGCAGGGGTACAAGGTAGTTGAGGTAGATACTGCATGTACATATTATTCAGAATAAAGTGAAAGATAATAAATAGTAGCAGCAGCGCATGTGATTAGTCAAAATTAGTGCAAAAAGTGTCAATGCAGATAGTCTAGGTAGCTACAGTGCCTTCAGAAAGTATTCACAGTCCTTGACTTGGAATTATATGTTTTTCTACATTTTTTACAAATTAATAAAAAACAAAAGGTGAAATGTCTTGAGTTAATAAGCATTCAACCCATTTGTTGTGGCAAGCCTAAATAAGTTCAGGAGTAAAAATGTACTTAACAAGTCACATAAATTGCATGGACAATAATAGTGTTTAACACGATTTGTTGAATAACTACCTCATCTCTGTACCCCACACATACAACAATCTGTAAGGTCCCTGAGTCGAGCAATGAATTTCAAACAAAGACCTGGGAGGTTTCCATTGATTCGCAAAGAAGGGCACCTGTTGGTAGATGGGTAAACATAAAAAAACAGACATTGAATATCACTTAGAGCATGGTATGACATTGCGCAAACTTCAACTTTGTGAAAATTCTGTGCAACTTCCAGGGCAACTTCTTACTGTGAACACTGAGGCTGTACCCGCTTTCAGTTACAGTTTTAACAGTGGCCATGTAGTTATTAATTACACTTAGGATGGTAAAATCACTGGGGAAGCCAATGTGTTGTGATAATTGCGTTGTTTGCTCTTTAACCCTCCCGTTGTCCTAGGGTCAAAATGACCCGCCACTGTGTTGAACCAACTTTATTTAATTTTAATATTTTTGGGATCATTTGTGAGAAGGAGGCAGTGAGGCTTTAAAGAAAGTATCACTGCCTCCTTCTCACAAATGATCCAAAAAATATAAAAATTAAATAAAGTTGGTTCAACACAGTGGCGGGTCATTTTGACCCTAGGACAACGGGAGGGTTAACCTGTTAATGTATATGCCATGCGACCGTGATATATAGGCTGAGACATTAAGAAGACACAGTGGCAGAATAAACTCAACCACACCTTTGTTTTATCATAAAACCGGATAGCAACCTTCGTCCAATGAAGTCCACAAAGCATATTGCATGTTCAGTAACAGACAGTTACATGTCCTACAGCATGGTCAAGCAAGTTAATGTTTCCGACAGTTTTGGACCATTAAACAGCTATTGATTTAGAACCACAGAGTTACCGCAAGTCGCAAAGAAAACAGGAGCTGCCTCCAGTATTCCAGCACCATTTCAACTTCAACATTTCAACATTATCAAATCACTTCTGCTTAGTCTAATACAGTGACAACTAAAATATAAGAGCGATGGCCAAATCCAAGATGGCTTCCCTTGACACTTTTTTTTGGAGCGCCAGGACCATTCACAGTTGAGCTCGCTCAGTTTAGCTCAACGCTGATTGGCTAATTTTGTATACTTTTTGTCAAGGCAGGCTAGATGCTCGCTGGCTTGCCTTGCCTTCAGTGCAACGGGCAACAATGTCATACTCGTTTGGACCAGACAGCATCAGATAGATGGCCTACACGTAGAGAGACAGAGGGGCGCTGTTTCGCTCGCTCGGATGCTTTCTCTTGTGAGATACATTCAGACGAAAGAGAGAGAGACGAAATATTTTTATTTTGGGAAGCCTGGCTTCCCTTGGCATCCATGAATACACGCCACTGTGGATCAACAACATTGTAGTTACTCCACAATACTAACCTAAATTACATAGTGAAAAGAAGGAAGCCTGTACAGAATACAAATATTCCAAAACATGCATCCTGTTTGCAATAAGGCACTAAATAATACTGCAAAAAAACAACAACAACAAGCTCTCACAGCCTCATGTCAGAATGAGACGTTCATCCATGTTTCTCAAACTTCAAATTTCAAAGTTTTGGTTTACTTCTCTGTATAGTTCAA